AATGATCCTTTTTAAGGCTATGGATGGACTCACACGCTGCACAACTAGTATCTTTGAGGAGGAAGAAGCCACTGGCAGAAGTTTTCAGAACACGAAGTTAAGAAAGAGGGTAAAGAAGAGGAGAAGTCAATAGAGATAAAGGGTTTGTGTGTTAGGGGAGCAAGTAAATTAAAAGCACGAAAGAAAAGGGTTTTTAAACCTTTATATCCAAAAAATACCCAATCGTTTTAAAATGGGTAGAATTCATAAAGAAGTACTAAAGGTAAGGATGCGAAAAATTTCTCTCAATATTGATAATTTGGGAGGGAAACGTATCTCAAATACTTATATTGACTTTGAAATCAAATATTTGGCTTTGAAGCCAAGCTTTGGCTCCAAAGTTAGGTGACAAGTGTCCAACTAAGGCTTCGAAAGCAGGAAGTCGACTTCGAAGCATAGTTCATACCTATGAGTACAAGAATGCTTAGGTGTTTGTTACTTCAAGAGGATTAAAGACCTGCTTTTAGGTTTCTTGTTGAAAGTAAAATCCTTCGAAGTAAAATTTGAAATACTCTGCAGTTAGAATTTGTTTGTTCTAGACTTTGAAGTGACATAAAACCAATATTTGGTTAAGCAGTGAAGGACACAAAGGGACTTACTCTTTTAGAGTAAAACAGTGCAATCCTTAAGGGAAGTTTCCGTACTTCGAAAAATGTAGACTGTTTATTCGAAGCAAAAATAGTTGATTCCAAACTGTTGATTGTGTTAACCATATGATTGGAATGAGAAGACCTAAGGCAAAGATTGTCAATTACACTCCATATGTTGGGGAAATTCAAATTTGGTTTCCAGTATTCCATTAGAAATGTTCAAGTCAGGTTTGAAGGACAAAATTGGTAAATTCGAAGCTCTGATTTTGTTTGCTTTGGGTGAATAGAATAAAGTCAGACCATACCGAATAAAGAAGGGAAAACTTAGCTTTATTAAGATGAAAGTAATTACATCAGAAAGCCTTCTTGGCTACAAATTCAATTTCATAAAAATAAGGAATAGAATAAATAACAAGGTCATGAAATTTGTTCCAACAGTGGTCAATGAATTTTTGTTCCTTTTTTATTCTGTCTTCTATCCTCTCTAAGCTAGATTGCTGGAGCTGATATGCTCTTATTTGATAAAAAAATTGTTCAGCTTTTATTTCGAACTCTGTTTCCTTCAATCCTTGTTCTATCCCATCCATATCTAAATCATCCCAGTATGCAGAGTCTTTATTCTTGAAGTCATTATATTCGTCGATTAGGTTCTCTGCTTCATACTGGGTGTGAATTCGACGGGCTGAGATTTTGTCCAAAGATTGAGTAGTAGCCAAAGAAGTTTGGTACCAATGAAGAAGCAGTGGGAGTTGATCCAAAAATATTTTAAGTTCTGCTTGAGCAATGGGGTTAAGGACATGACCCCAAGTTATAATGTCACAAGCCCATCGAAAGTTCTTAAGAGGAACATCACCCCCAAGAACATTGAAGAGCAAGTGAGAAAAGGCTGCAAGAAGAAGTTGAGATTGATATCGCTCAAATATAGTGGGGGGAGCTGGAGGTTCGTAGGAAGGAACAAACTAATTCTCAAAGAGAGTAAGTCTTAGTTCTTCCTTCTAGTGAGGGTTTTGAGGAAGTGGAGGCGCAGGAGGATCCACCTCAAAGAAAGAAGGGAACTGGGGGTTATTTCCACATTCAAGCCAGTCAGAAGAGTAAAATTTTGCCCTCTGGGCTAAGAATGATGGGCTGTACCCTTGTGCTTCCTCTGGACGACGAGTGGCTTGTACTATCTTCGTAGGCATGGAAGATGTGTACCATGCTATAAGTAAGTTGTCTTCCAAACTGCGTTGGCGATCGATGGACACATAGGGGTAAACCACTGAGCTCCGAGCAAATAGAGGGAAAGACAGAGGATCTGCGAATTCGACGAATCGATGGTTAATTTGCTCTCTTAGCTTGGATTCCTCAGGTTCTGGCCAGCTTCCCCAGCTAGAAGCTTTAGAAGAAGAAGAGGAAGCCACAGCCTCATCCTACGTAGAAGGTTTTGGGGTAGAAGAAGAGCTTCCAATATCCATTTTTGCAAAGTCTTGGACTAAAGAATTATGAATAATAAGTTCATGATCCAAAGGTCGATGATTTGCAAAAGCTTCCATGACTTGAATAAATGGAGATGGATAGGTGTGGCAAATAAATGCATGAAAATTCTTTTGAGGGAAAACATCATTATCTAACAACTCTTCGTATGCTTGATCTATGTCAAAAAAGGTTTGTTTGGCCATACGAACTGTACCAGTTTTTTCGAATGCTCAAATAGTGGGAAATGTTCAAGGTGTAGAAAAGAATTTAATGTAGTCAGTTATAGTTGTAAGAAGATGCAAAGCCCATGCATGTTCTAGGACGTGGGTAAAGTGCTTTGATCCACTAATATCACCAAGTATTGGGTATATTAGGGCGGGGGGTAATGTTGGCTGTATAATTTGCATAAGCCAATCACAATTCGCCACGTGGCATGAAAGGGGCAATTTGGAGAGGTAATGCAAAGCGCCAACCATAGTCAGACATGTGTCAACCCATACTGGTAATAATGAGTCTGCGTAGCACTGGAATGATCGAGGGATATAAGGTGATGTGGTCTAAACGGTTACTCACAAGGTTCAAATTCAAAATCAGGAGGGAAGCCTAACAGCAAACATGGCGTAGTGGGACTGACTGTAAGGAGCATGTTCAGCGATCATGGAGGGACATTTCGACGGTTAGGAGCCCATTTCGACAGTTATCATTGAGAAGTATAAATAGCAGAGAAGGCCCCAGAAAGGAGGATCCAGACTCAGATCAAAAAACTAGTTTTATCTACTTTATTTTTTTTCCAGTTTTTTACAGTTCTTTACATTTATGTACTTCGAATTCCTGTATTGCACTTCATTCATAGAAGTAGTTTCAAATAGCTTGTTACTATAAACCTTTACAAGACTGGGTCAGATCATTGTAAGTTTTTCATTTTTACTTAATGAAATTCTGCGATTTTCTTCACTTAATTGTTGTTTACTAAATTCTCCTAAACAAGCCACCACTAAAAGTCCTCTTCATTGAGGCGGAAAGAATTAAAACACAATCGTCTGATAATTGGTTGGCAATTAATCTTCTGTAAGGACTGATTGATCCTGGCTGGCACGCTTAAAATTACAATACTAACCTTCAAAATCCAAAAAAGCCAACAGTAGTGGACTCTATAGATCCAAGTAATGCTCTCCAGTCTAAAATCTGAACTTAAGGGGTCCTTTTCCAAAAGGATGATACAACTACAGCAAATACCTCTTCAGCATCCCAAAATAAAATGGAAAAACAAAAAATAAAAAAAATAAAAAAAAGAAGAGATACATGAATTCGAATCTTTTATGATTTATCCCAACTCTATGTAAGTTGTACCATTACTCTACGCATTGGGTGAAAGCCTATTGCATCCTTATATCATATTTTAATTGGTAAATTACATGCACTTCCCCTGAGGTTTTTCAAAATTACAAGAATTTCCCTTTTAGTTTCAATAATTACAAAAATTTTCCTTACTTTTTCTAACAGATTTCCCCTCTCGTTAATTTAAGCCAAACAGTGTTAACTTGATTGTGCAAATGACCATAATACTCTTTACACTATATATTAAATTATCATTTTATTTCCCACAATTTTTTTTTGTATTTCCTTGACTTTGTATTTTTTTTTCGACTATAAGTTTGGAACTTTTATAAGTTAAAAAAAAAAAAATTCCATTAATGAAATTAAGAAAGAATATCCATATTTCTTATTTGAATTAATTTTGAGATTTAATTTAATAAAAATAACTTAAATGAAAGAAACAAAAATGGAGCTATAGATTTTAGATGTAATAAATAGAAATTATTTGAGTATTTTATTATTTTTAAATAATTTATTTCTTCAAGTAAAATTCTATTTTAATTAGATGTAAGAAATGACAAATTTAAATAGTTTATTATTCTCAAATAATTTATTTATCTTTCATTCTCTATCATCTAAATTTAATTTGTTGTAACATGATTAGATATTTTTTCACTTTTATATTTATTTTTAAAAATTTTATTATTAAGGTGAGAAATATTGACTTGTTTTTTTTTAATGATAATTAAAATTTGAGAATAATATAGGATTGTGAAAAGATAAAATGATAATTTTTTTATATATATTTATGAGGTAACATTTGGTAATTTTTATAAGTCAATTTTTTTTTTATTATAAATAAGAAATGTTATTATGTTTATTTTTCTTAAAAAAATTTAGAGATAATTACCTAAAAGGCCTATCTACATGTTTGGTTGTAGCTTAGGTCCTATCAAAAATTTTTTGAACCAATAAGTCTCATTTGTAGGTAAAAAGACGTGTTTGCCCTTTAACATAAAGAACTGTATATAAAATTCCATTCACGTTATTTACTAGAAAGACAAAAGAAATCAGTTAACAGATCAGTTATGGAAGTAGCTGAAGATTCGAATCGTGAACAATCTTGGAGGATTTATTACTTTGGTTCGCTATTTACGTTATTGATTTCTCGACTTTGATTCGAATAGAAAAAGATTTTGAAGGATTTCTTAGTTTGGTTCGCTTTTTGAGTTGAAATCTATTAGAGTTTGTTATGTGCGATTTTGATTTATAAATTTAAGAATTGATTTGCTGGATATTTGATCTTCAATCTGGTTTATAGGTATGTATTGTTTCAATTTTGTGTATTATGTTTTTTTAGAATTTTCTTTATGTTGAATAATTTTGTTTTTACGAATTGAAGACGTGATTTGCTGGATGATTTATTGGTTTGGTTATTTATTTTATGAATTGAAAACGTGATTTGTGAAGTATTTGTATTGTTTTGAAGTTTTTTGTTCTGGTGTTTATTATTATGAAGTATTTGTGAAAACTGAGAAAGTTCTTAGTATTGTTCTGGTTTTTATTGATGTGATCTTTTTTTCTTGTTTAGATTGAAAGATGAGTGAAGGTTGTACAAGTGCGCCTATTTTTTTGTTGTGCAAGTATAATGGTTGCACATTTGCAATTAAGATTGATCAAAATGTTACATATGATCAATTGGTTGAGAAGCTATGTTTGAAATGGGATAATTTGCAATCTGATAATATTTTTCTATCTTACTCATTGCCTGGACATCCTAATTGTACGTTGGACAACAATGAGGCGTTAGATTTGTTGTTTGCATTAGTTGTTCATTTTGATTCAAAGTGTATTGATGTTGTTGTGAGAGTACAAGACTCAACCATTGACTATGGTTATCTCAACAAAAGATTGGATTATGGAGAAAGAGAGTCAATGTTGGATCTTGAAGCTTGTGATATTGCATTGTCTCATGACAGCAGTAAGTCTGTGAACTTGTCAAACAGAGCATCTAAATCCTCCAAAAGGAATTCAAGGTTGGAAGTTGAAGAAGAGGTTAATATGTTATCATCATTTTGTCGACACAAGGAAAAAGTACTGTTGTCTGCTGGTTGGGCAGTTAGTATTACACATGTAAGGTGGAATTGTTGAATTTCGTAATGCATTGTCGAAGTTTTCTATTGAGTGTGGATTTGAGTTCATATTTGTTAAGAATGATAAAGTTCGTGTTACAGCACAATGTTTGTTTAGAGAGACAAAAGGTTGTATGTGGAATGTTCATGGTAAAGTGGAGAATGCTAATGGGTTCTTTTATATAAGGAAGTTGAACAATGTCCACACATGTGGTGCTGAAGTACGTACGATGAATCATTCTCGTATGAGTTCTGATTTAGTTGCTGATTTGATTGTTGAAGGTGTTCGTGATAATCCATTGACACGTCCAGTTCATGTTGTTCAGGATTTTAAGTTGGGGTATGGGTTGAGAGTTAGTTGTCGTCAAGCTTGGTTGGGGGTAGAGAAAGCAAAATGTGAGATTTTTTTAGACTACTTAATTTCATTTGACCAGTTAAGATGGTATGTGGATGTTGCAAAGAGTTGCAATCCAGGGAGTTACATTGAGTTTGAGTGTGACGATGATACTAAACAGTTTAAGAGATTATTTGTTTCTTTTCATGGTTCCATTAGTGGATTTGATTATTGTTGACCTCTCTTATTCCTTGATGGCACATTTTTTAAGGAAAGATTTAGAGGAAATTTACTTGCCGCTACAGGAAAAGATGGAAATCAAGGTACATAAGAAATCTATTTTCTCTGTTCTGAAATTGAGAAAGTTCTCAGTTTAGAAATATGATTGAATGCTTTAAATTTTATATAATATTGTTGTTGTATATGCATTTTTTATTTTTTTCAGTTATTCATTTTAGTGTTTTATATTTTGAATGTTAAAGTGTTACCATTGTCTAAGAATAATAGAATATTTTCATTTTCTCCATTTTGTACATGCAAGGTTCTTTCTTGTTTGTTTTGCAGTTGTTGGCTCAGAGAATCAAGATAACTGGCGTTGGTTTTTGGAGCATTTGAGTAGAATTGTTTCACCAGAATGAAATATTACATTTGTGTCAGATCGTAACCTTGGATTAGTTGAAGTGTTGCCAAAGGTTTTCCCAATGGCTTTCCATGCTTATTGTTTATATCATTTGAAGATGAACTTGAGGCATCATTTGCGTGGTATGTTTCATGGATTGAAAGAAAAGCTGATCACTCTGTTTGGGAAATGTGCATATGCTCCAACTGAAGAAACATTTCATCAATGTTTGGTTGAGTTAAAGACTGAAGGTGGGTCAAGAGTTGAAAAGGTTTTAGATGACAAGAGTTGAAAAGTTTTTAGATGACATATCATATGATCATTGGAGTAATGCATATTTTCGAGGGCAACGCTTTGGAGAGATGTGGTCAAATGTAGCTAAATCTTTCAATTCGTGGATACGAGAGGAACGCCACTTGCCTATCACAAAGTTGATTGATAGTGTAAGAATTAAGTTGATGAGGAAAATTGCTAAGATGAGGGAACTTGTTAATAAATGGAATGGTTTGATATGCCTTAAAAAGGAGTCCAAGTTACATGATGGTTTTAATACTTCGAGGCCATGAATTGTTAGTTCATCTGGAAATGATGTCTATGAGGTGCATTCACATCCATCTGTTTCAGTTGACATTAGTAGACGAATATGTTCTTGTGGCGAGTGGCAGTTGAAAGGGTTTCCATGTGCACATGCAGTTGGTGCTATACAAAAGAGTGGATATGATTTGAGTTTATTTTTTTGATTAATACTTCTATATTCAAAGTTATTGAGAGTCCTATTCTTTTCCCATATATCCCGTTCCTTCAATTTGGAAACCAGATTGTAATGTTGATGGTGATAGTGAAGTTGTTCTTCCTCCTTTGTCTAAGAAGCAACCAGGAAGGCCAAATAAGAAAAGGATTCATTCGAATGGTGAGAAAGTAAGGCAAATTACTTGTAGTAGATGTGGGAATGTTGGCAATCACAATAAGAAATTGTGTAAGGAGGCTTTGTGATTTTTTGTAGCTGCTTTGTGATTGTACAAATTTCGTATTCATAAATTTCTTGAAGTAGCAATTTGTGCTGTTGAGCGCTGAGTAACAATCTTCTATGTTTTGAAAAAGTGACATTGAATTGAAAGTAAAAATATTCTTAGTTTCAAATTTTAATTTTGAAATTGTTTGTGATAATATTGTTTGGTTGGCTTTTGGAAATAAACTTGACTGTTGAATGCTTGTTTTATGCTGTGTTTGGTTGGGGGATTTGAGAAGGGATTTGGAAAGAGAAATGGAAAAGATAGGTGAAATGTGAATAAATCATGCCTATATTTCACATAGTTTCACACACCTTTTCCCTTTCCTTTTCCAATTCTCTCCTCAAATCCCCCAACCAAACACAACATTAAAGATTATGTGAATACTGTATAAAAAGTGAACATATTCTCAGTTTAAGTTTTTAGTTGAAAATAACTAATTTTGTGATAATAGTGTGCGGCTCTTGTTATGAATTGGAACTAGTTATAAATGTGATCAATTGAATGAATGTGAATTAATATTCTAAATAGATGTGGTCAATACTTTATGTTTTGTTTAAAGTAACAGTGGACTGAAAGTGAAAATATTCTTTGTTTCGAATTTTAGTTTTTCAAATTGTCATAATATTGTGAGGCAGCAAATAAATTGTTGTGATAATATTGTTGTTTGAAAATTGAGTGATCTGTATAAAACTGAAAATATTCTCAATTTTAAAGTTTCTAAGTTTGAAAATAAGTGATTGTGAGATAACAAAACACTGCATAAAAACTGAAAATATAAACAAAAACATCAAGAAAGCACTGATTGTGATACAGTAAAGTCTTGTGTCCACTATTTTCACATGTAATACTATTTTTGCTTTTCCCATATAGTAGTGTGAGGAACAGGATAATAGAAACTGAGAATATGGACAAAACATCAACAAAGCTTGGGTGCATAAATCTTTGAGAGAATGACAAAATATTCCATTACACATCATAGAAATTGTAATATGTTTGTTAGGTAATATGCTTGGAACTATTAGCAAAAACATTAGTCATTGTATCAGAGTGTTACAAAAAAGAGTTCATTGAGTTACACATCAAAAAAGATTTCATTGAATGTTGCAATCTTGACTCTACTTGACTCTGATTGATCTTTGTGGATCACTGAGGAACTCATGTACCATGTCTGCTCTGAGTCTTGCAGATGTGCCTGGTGGTAATTTGTTTGGAATTAAGTGATGCCTCATGTATTGTCTTATGATGTAGCAAACAATAATTCCACAGTCATTCCTACAGAAATCATTTTTCACACAGTTAGGGAAAAATTTTTTTTGGAAAAGATATTAAAACTTGTTAGTTAGAATAAATTAACATACGTCATTGCTTCTTGTTGAGGGCTGTCTTTGACTGATTCAATCTTGACATCGGGATTCTAGGCTTTTTCTGCTTGACAAGGTGTATCCTTCATGTATTGATGGATGGTTTTTTGCTGTAAAAAACATCAACATAAAGTATGTAATGATTTACATCTGATTATTGTAATGCTAATCTGAAATTGTTCTTACCAGTTGATTTGCAACGTTGCAGTGCTTGTCCTTTCCTTTTCTTGGTCTCAAAGAGTTGAAATGGTTCCAAGTCCCCAAGTGTTTGTCGACAACAAGTAATGTCCAATAATTGAAATTGTGGATGGGGATATGGATGTATCGACATGGGAGGGATTCTTGCAAAGTATTTTTCAAAATCTTTTTCCTTTGTTCTGAAGTTTTCTTCTTCAACATTGGCTGTTTTTTTACAAAAAAATATGTGAATATTCACAGTAATGGTATGAACTCAATATTCATATGTCAATGAAAAGCAACAAAACATGATTAACTACGATTTATCACTCAAATTGTTTTGAAATCTGAGTATATTCCCAGCAATGATACCAAAATCAAAATTTGAGAACATTCACAACAATGATAACAAACACAAAAAATCTACTTTGAAACCAAAATTGAACGGAAGATAAAGTATAGAATTGACACAGGCACATTTATTCCTTACCCAATATAGACTTGACAGTATAAAAGACTTGCCATCGTGCTCTGCTCCATCACCAAAATTCTGTGCTTGTGGTTCTCTTTCAAGAATCTCAGCATATGCATCAATTGTCTATCAAATTGAAACACAAAAGTGATGTTAACAAATTAATGAGAAGTTTTTCAGTGTTAAAATATTACAAATATTATACGTACACGGTTGGATATGTCTGTCCCTTTTACCAAGTTCTTGATATCATTAATAAACACACAATTGTCATATCTTGCGCCAAACCATATACAAGCACTACAAAACAATAAAAAAATGTGTTAATAATTAAGTCAGAATATTTTCAGAAAACAAAGCTGTTTCTCAGTTTCATTTCATATATTTGTACTATATGAAAAATTGAAAGATTTATGTAAGATTATACCTTGATTCTGTTTGCTTTTCTTTCCAAAGAATTTTTAGTTTATATTTATCTTCAGGAGGTAGCAATTGAGCCACAACATACTTGTTTGAAATTGTCTCATCTTTGTGTTCCTTTTCTTTCTCAACTTTAACTTTCTTGCCTCTGTACTCATAATCTGATACCTCAGCAGTCTTCCTTGCTTTAGCTTTGATATTTTTAATCATGGAATTCTGTAGATTTGTTTGTCTTGATTCTGTCAGATCATCAGCTTTCATTGCACAAACTTGTTGGGTTAAGTCATGGACTTCTTCCTCCACTAACTGATTCTGTAATTGAGAATTTTGACAATCTTTCACATTTGTATTTGTCTCACAATGTTTTGTTGCAAAAGGTTGTTGTGTTATCTCATGGACCTCTTTCTGATGGAGCTCTTTGTGCACAACTTCAGAATTTTCATGGACCTCTTTCTGCAGCACTTGAGAATTTTCATCGTTTATTGTATGACCTTCATTCTTTGCATCTGTCCCAGAATGTTTTACTCCACAAACTTCTTGGGTTATCTTATGGACCTCTTTTTCAACCAATTGGTTATGTAATCGAGAATTTTCATCTTCTAATTGTTGTATCTGTGCTGTGAGTAGCCTGTTATCCTCTTCAAGTTTATTTATGTAGATGGTCTTCACTGTGTTGTCCAGTTGCAAATTGTTGTTCTCAGTTTGAAGTTTCTCAAGTGTTTGTTGATGAATTTGTTCTTCTCCCTCAAGTGCATCATTGAGTATAATGTTGCAGAAGCCATTAAAGTCTTCATTTGCTGGCTTTTGTTCTTGGTGGCACTCTTCAGCATATTGACCATCTTCTTCTTCTTCTTCTTCTTCTTCATCTTCTTCATCTTCTTCAGAATCTTCTTCTTCTTCTTCAGTATTTTCAGCATCTTGTTTTTATTGTTCTTGTTCTTGTACTTCTTGTTCTTCTTCTTCAGCATCTTCTTGTTCTTCATCTTCAGTGTTTTCAGCATCTTCTTTTTCTTCTTCTTCAGTGTCATCAAGTTCTTCATCACTTTCCTCATTCAATTGAGCACTAGTTACATGTAGGTCAACATACAATAGATATTAGTTTTTAAAATAATTGAAGTTTAGGAAACTAAAAAGTTTCTCAGTAATAATTCAGTGTATAAAAATAGGGATTTTTCCCAACTTGAATTGAAATTCAAATGAGATGAGGATGTGACCTGTCTTGTTGTCAACTGATGTAGTGATATGACTTTCATACGTTTATGTAATTTGGTAAGATTCCAGTTGATCACCCTTGGGCATGCTTTGCTAACTTCAGGGTGGATGATCAATGTGTGCTCACACAACCAATACTACAAAGCAAATGTAAAGAATTTTTGTCATTTGAATAAGAAATAATACTATCTGTTATTAACAACAAACTAATAGAATAGAGTAAAGATGTACTTACTAGGAGAGCCATAACACATCCGTGACTTTTGCTGGATTTTTGTGATATTTTTCAATTGAAGACATCAGTGTGTTCCTTATTGCTTCTGTCCAATTGTGTTTTCTCATTGAGTTTATGTCTTCCATGTAATTAAGAAATACCCATCCAACTGTTGTTCCTGATGTAGAGAAAAAAAGCTTCAAACAAGTATACATACACAGCATCCTTATCATATCTTCAGTGTCTTCTTTCTTCTTGCCTTTCAATGTTTTTTGCAACAAGTCAGTGATGGTTGTGCTTGATAGCCTTTCAGTTTGTATGGATCTTCTTGTCAAAAATGATGATATACTTTTATTTCCATAACCAAGATGCATCAACTCATGTCCACAAGATATAGCGAAGATGGATTTGATGTCTTCTGTTGTTAGCTTTACAATTTCTGGTCCTAACTAGAAAAAAACTAGTGCTGCCTGGCTGGTATGTTTGAATTATTTTCAATGTAATGTCATCATATTTTCTGCATTGTTTACAATTTAGCTTGTTTTGCAATATTGCATCAAACAATAACCAAAATAGGGTTTTCTTCAAGCCATTAATATGCTCATTCCTGAGTTTGATGTGCTGTAATAGCTTCACTATTGTCACCATGTTTGATCTGAAAGTTTGTTCTTGTACTTCTTGTTTTTTTTCTTCAACATCTTCTTGTTCTTCGTCTTCAATATTTTCAGCATCTTCTTTTTCTTTTTCTTCAGTGTCATCAAGTTCTTTATCACTTTCCTCACTCAATTGACCAGTAGTTACCTGTAGGTCAACATACAATAGCTATTAGTTTTTGAAATAATTGAAGCTTAGGAAACTAAAAAGTTTCTCAGTAATAATTCAGTGTATAAAAATAGGGATTTTTCCCAACTTGAATTGAAATTCAAATGAGATGAGGATGTGACTCGTCTTGTTGTCAGCTGATGTAGTGATATGACTTTCATACGTTTATGTAATTTGATAAGATTCCACTTGATCACCCTTGGGCATGCTTCGCTAACTTCAGGGTGAATGATCAGTGTGTGCTCACACAACCAATACTACAAAGGAAATGTAAAGAATTTTTTTCATTTGAATAAGAAATA